AAGTGTCGTTAAATGAATTATATGAAATGGCTAAATTTGACTTTTCATTGCACTTTATATACAATGCATTATCAGATGATAATCAGCTGTGTTGCTCTTTTATTTGTTCACGTGATTTATTTGATCAAAGAACAATTCTGACGTTAACTCAAAGATTTAAATATGTTTGTAAACAAATTTTTATATCAACTTCGATTGAAAAACCCTTCGATACATGTTCGACAGCGATATCACGACTTGATCTTATTTTATCAAATGAAAGAAACGAGATGCAAGATATTGTGTTTTGCCGACAAGAAAGCATTCGAAACCAAGGTTAGTTTTTACTTCTCATATAGAATTTTGTTGATGAATATTTTACGTGAAGTATATGTGTTTTATAAAAGCATAAGTTATTTTGACTCTTTTTATTGTGAATACTGAATCGAACTTACAAGAATGGTAGTTTCTTTCTTTTTCAATGTCACTTGAAATGATGAATCGTATATTATGCTCAAAGTCGAAATGAAATCGAAAAACTCTAAACCAAAATCGGTTATAATCAATTTCATTCTATCAAAATTCTAGTAAGAGAGCTGATCAGTTTAAAAGATTATCTAAAATCTAGTTTGTTGAGCAAAAGTTTTGCAAAAACTCTGAGAAGTTTTCCTCCAGTAGTAGAAAAATAATTCTGAAAGACAAACTTCAATCAAATATCTATCTCGACAAAAGACGCTTCATCTTCTGCCATCGTATCTTTTGTGTGCCCCATAGCAAAAGATTATGGTTCCGGTAGCTCAAAATAGGCAGCATGATTGGTCCGTAAGAAATATCGATAGTTTGGTTCAGTTATAAAGAAATCGAAAAAAGAAATAACAGAAAAATATGAAGCGAAATTAATCATTCTTTCTCTATGAGTAAGTTCATGTCATACAAGTATGATAGTAAACAGCCATTTCAGAAACTGTTTTATCTTTCAATAAACTTAGTATTACCATCACATATCGTTGTGTAACAATCGAGTGACTACTCGATTTTCAGATGGTTTACGATCATTATTAGCTATACACAGAACGATAAAATATGATTATAATACTGCATCTCTCAAATGTCAATCTATAACTATTTATCGCTATAAACTGTTAAAAACGACGGTATACATTATCAATTTCGATAGTTACAACTACTGCAGTCATTGTTCTAGAAATATTTTGCAACTATTTTTATATGAATTTTAACAAGGACTTGTCGAAAAACATTCAGAACCTCATAGTAACGATTACAGAACGGCTCTGTATTCATAAGGTAGGGAAAATGAAGACAGTATCACGATTGTTCGTTAAAAATAGAAAAATCAAACTGGTTTTAAAAAATCAATAAAATACAAGCATTGCGAGCCTTGTCTGTTTTTGTTAACATGTACATGAAACTAATACAGAATACTATTAACGCGCACAAGAAGTTCTAGATTGAGATCGTTCTATCGACTTCTATAGAGACCGACAATATCTATCGATTTTTTCGGTAGAGTTGGATATGATTGATTGACCGACAGTTACGCGCCGACATTTACGCCCATGACATTTACGCGCACGACGGTTGAGCGTATAGACACTTGCGCGCGAATTGAGAAAAAGATGATAAAATTTATTTTTCTTAAATTTTATTTGAATTATGAACGGGCGGAAATTTATGCTTACTTACTGATAAAACAATTGTTCTTAATTTCAAAAAATATATTGATATAAATTATTAACAGAGATAAATAGTATTTATTTACAATAAACAAACAAATACGCTAAGTGAACAATAATTCAGAATACAGAATGTACTCGTTGGAAAATTGAACACTATTCTGGCTATTTTAAAATAGTCGTTCCTAGAAACAGCATGAAATTCTTCGACAATGTTTCCTATTCGAAGATCAATTTTTTCATATTTTGTGCGTTGGTCTTTGCCTTTGGCTGATTTTATAAGAGACATTTATATCGTAGAAATTATTAAAATAACACGCACATATATACATACCTTTTCTTTATACTTTTATCCGATTTACTTTGTTTAGTTTTAATCTCATTCTGATGCAAAAAGCAAGTTTGATATTAAAATTAGATAATCTTTTGATTCTCATTAATATCTTCTATGTATTTTCTCAATAAAACAATCTCAATAACAGAACATTATTATTTCTGTTAATACATATGAGTAGTTCAATCAAACAAGAATGAAACGGAAAGAATTTTTTTGCGCGCAGACGTTGTGTGCGTTCATTCTTGAGCGCATATGTCGTGCGCGTAACTGACGTATCACGGATATGAATCGATCTTAGACTTTTCTCTCTAGCGATGTTAAAAATGATTAGAATATTGATATGAAACATTATCTGATCATCCATCTTTTACATTCTAATCCACTAAACTTTTATTATTCTAGCACCTGCATCATTTGCACAAGCTCGTATATGGCTCGACGAGAAAATTCGATTCGATCCAGATAAACCTCAAATAGCAATCTATAATATGCCTTTTGTTTATCATCTGCAACCAGGCCATACTTTATCGATTAAACAACTTCGTCATGCACTTCATCTCACTGTTAACAAACATCCCTCACTTCACACATCACTTCATTTTGACATCCAACAGAATCTACTTATGCAACGAGTTATTACTCATGAAGATAAAAATAATAAGAATAATATGTTTTCAACCATCGAAACTGCTTATAAAACAGATGAACAGCTTAATGAGATTTTACACGACGAGAAAAGTAATCCTCATCTTTTTGATCATGCTCAAGGTCTTGTCTTTCGATGTCATATCATTTATTACAAACAGATCTCTTCAAATCATCTTCTTTCTGACAAAGATATACTGATCTTCAATTTCCATCACGCTCTATTTGATTTTCCATCAATGAAAGTATTTCATCATGATCTCAATCAAGC